AACTTCAGCCAATCAAGCATTATATTATGATAATTAAGCACTATTTAATGATAGAATTAGTGATTAGAACTAAAACTTGGTAACCATAAATTAATGCATATTTGTCATTTTAACTGAACTTAGGACTGGTGGTGGTGTTTAAGATATTGTTGGTCATAGGTAAGAGTAATTATTATTAAAAGATACTACTACTACTATTATCTGATGGGTTCATGAATATTAATCACGTTGTCAGCATTCGCTCGAACTGATTTGCTGAAATCAAAACAGGGACGGTAATAGATGAGCGCCAGCCAACGAGAGCTGTTCGCGCATTAGCTCCGCCCACTGCCGAGAAACCTGCATATCTTCTGCTTGTTCTTAAAAGCTGAATAATTCTAAATGAACTCTGTTATTTTGACAGGAAAATACAACAAAGAATATGGTTTACATGTAGCGCGTCGATTCAGCATGGTATGCAAGACTCTCGCTCTCTCTCTTTGCATGTGTGAGAAACACAGCGCTATCAGTAAAGCGACGGCGAGTCGCACGCATTCACACTAGTTTACAGTACATCAAATACAGGTGCGCTGCGTGCTACATACTGCGCAACCATTGAGTACATGACATGATCCATTGAGCGCATCCAAATAGTACAGATCACTTGACAGAAAGCGAAACTCTCAAGCGCTCAGTCAGCGTGCATGTTTATCGAGTGAAAATCTGTGTTGAACGCCTCTCACACACATACTGGCGTGTAAAATCTAAGAATTTATTAGCCAATGGCTAATGTTAGATATTATTTAGTCGCCCAGAGTAAGATTTACTCGCAATGTAGAGGGTTGTATATATATATATATATATATATATGATATAATCAATAAGTTCAGTAAACAAACAAGTGATTTTAGACTGTTTTTGTTCCATTCCATGGTCGAAAATTTCTTAATTAAACCACAGCAGAACTGTTGTTAATCTCCGAGCAGCACACAGTGGCAATGTGTTACTGAATGAATCTGCATTTTGAACCAGTGAGTTTAATTAATGATTAACCCATTCAGTAAAGACAGTCACATGCTTCATTCCTGAATGGATCAGCCATTTGAAGGAGTTGGTTGAATGAATGAATCACTCACTCAACTAACTCATTGAGACAGTAACTTGCTGCCACCTACTGGTGGTTTTAGTTTCGTATGTAAAGAAAAAGTAATTTCACATTTAAAATTTGTATTGTAAATGTATTAATGCCACTTCTGATGCAGCTTCTGTGTTACCTTGGCCTTATATAGATAAAACTGTCCTTACTTATATAGATCAAAATGCCCCTCGAAATAAATTTAAGTTGGCAAATATTGTCCCTTTCCATCACTGCTATGAACTAATCACCACACCGAATATTAAAGGGGTCATATGATGCGATTTCAATTTTTGGAGTGTTACAAAACTCTTGGTGCATAAAGAAGATCTGTAAAGTTGCAAAGACTAAAGTCTCAAATCCAAAGAGATATTCTTTATAAAAGTTAAGAGTCAACCATGCTTACCTAAAACGGCTCGTTCTAACACGCCCCCACATGTCTACATCACGATGTGGGAAGATTTGCATAACGCCGCCCAAATGTTCACGCAAAGAAAGAAGGCTTAACTTTTATTCTCGCTGTAGTATTGTTGTTGTCGCCATGCCGTGAAGGCGCTGTGTGTTTCGTTGTGAAAGCAAAACTACTAGGAAGCGGAGTCCAGCCCGGGGTCGTCACATGTGGTTGCATCACGATGTGGGAAGATTTGCATAACGCCGCCCAAATGTTCACGCAAAGAAAGAAGGCTTAACTTTTATTCTCGCTGTAGTATTGTTGTTGTCGCCATGCCGTGAAGGCGCTGTGTGTTTCGTTGTGAAAGCAAAACTACTAGGAAGCGGAGTCCAGCCCGGGGTCGTCACATGTGGTTACTGCAAGCCCTCCGGATGCTCCTTCATTGAATCCGCTGGCCGCGCCATTCTCAAGCCCGCCGCCTCTGCTCACTCTAGCCCTCCGGCCGTTCCT